AAAAAAGAAAGCCTTGCCAGAAAAAGGCAACCAATCATATGGGTAGTATATTTAAAAAGTAGGCCAAGTTAGAAAATAAAATCAGAAAAAAAACCCCCATGAGAAGTAAAAAAAAATAATTTGTAATTCTGATGATCAGGCTTGTGATCAGTGGGCAGGTTAATGGAACTCTTCAGCATTTCTTAGAGTATTTTATTCAATATTTAGTTTCCCATGGCTGATTAATCTCCATATCTGTCCATGGACAATGGATCTTTGTAATCTTATGCATTGTATTTAGTGCTGAATTGGACCACTGTTGACTAAATAATATCACATTTTAGTGCTTAGTGCTGTGAATGAGCCGAGCTATTTATCAGTATGCTTTGTATTACACACATGCTATTAATATAGAATATCTGCTGCTTTAAACTCTATTTTCCAGGCTCCATTTGATCCACAGATATAGAAGTGTCATGTGCTTTGAGAACTGTGTAAAATTGTTCAGTGACTTCTATTAACATTCACTGTAAACATGGAAAAGGCAGTTACGAAGAGGGGCAAGGAGCTCTTTTGAACCCTTGCAAACAAATTCTTTCTTGTGATTCTTTCCTCCAGTGTGCTTTTATTCAATCCACATGATTCCTTCATGCTGTGCTTATATGGTTGCTTCAGTTGGGTACAAGAAAGAAAAAAAAAAAATGATATTGTAACTGAATGCACTGACTAGATACAGGAATGTGCAAAACGTGTGCTTGGACAGGCAAGAACTGAGAGTTTTTGGAACACTTTATACCCATCCCAGAGTGACCAGAGCTGAGTAGTTTGGCAAGAGATTTAAGCCATTCTCTGTCTGAGACAGACTGTTGAGGATGCCTCTCTCCATCACACTGAAGATTTCTAGCCGTAAAACATAAATCTATCATGACTTCCATTTGGAGTCGCCAATTTCTGGGCCATAAAGGTAGTCTTACAGTCAAAAACTGATGAATAAGCAAAGTTTTGTCCCATTTTTTACCCAACTGGCATCTTGGAAGGTAAGAAACTTTAGTGTTGTCTCACTTGGATTGCTTGACAAGCTGATCTGAAAAATGTTTGATTTTGTTTTCTTATAGCTAAAGTGAGGCTACACCATGAACAACCCAGATTGTCAAACTGTAATTTGTTAGTATTGTAAATATGAAGAGAGCAAGTGTCACCAGATGGTGCTATTATATATCATCTTCTAACTTCTTTTTGTGAGTCTGATGGAACAATTTTAGACTTAGTAAACATACTGCATTGGGTAAATTTTGGTTTATGTAAGTTCTGTGTACAGCTGCCTTCTGGAGAGAGGGCTGAGTGAGCTGCAGGAATAGATTCAATTACCGGGGCAGGATTAATCTCTGGAAACTAGGCATTGACACTGAGCCAAGATTCCTGTAAAAAGAGAGACAGACAGACAAAGTCACTGGCTTCCCTGGAACAACAAAGTGACCTGCAAGGCCTCAGAATTCTGTTCCTTAAGCTACACCAATGACAGGAGAGAGCAATGCATCATTTATGCATTGAACAGTCATTGGGCACAATGCATAAACAGTGATGCAATCTGGAATAGAAGCACAACATTTTGGCTTCCCAGCTGGATACCTGATCTCTAGGCTACATGACTCTCCTTCCTTCTGCTCTCTTTGGCCCCATGAATCTTGCATGCCTTTCTACACATGGGCAGAGTTTCAACAGGTGCATTTGAGAGTGCTTTCTTTCATCTAGCCTAATCTGGCCTATAGGCTGGTGGCTAGAGCACATTCCTGGGGAGCAGGAAATATAGGTTTGAACCACCTCATGCTGAATGCCTTCCATGAGCAGAGAGGCGATTAGCTGTATTAGTCTGAAGTCAGAGGCTAACTGGTTCAGAAAGGCATAAACCACTTTATTAATTGACATAAAACTGACAGACTGTGAAAATAAACTGACAAGCTGTGATGTAGATGATTACATAGTCAGGTGGGTAGCAAATTGGCTTAGGGGTTGCACCCAGACAGTGGTGGTCGACAGGTCAATATCTACCTGGAAAGCTGTTGGCAGTGGAGTCCCGCAAAGCTTGGCCCTTGGATTGGTGCTATTCAGTGTCTTCATCAGTGACTTGGATGAGGCTGTAGAGACCACGCTGTCCAAGCTCACAAATGATACCAAATTATGGGGCAAAGTTAACACAGCAGAGGGTAGGGAATGGATCCAGGTGAATCTGGACAGGTTGGAAAATGGGCAGAACAAAATAGGATGCAGTTCAACAAAGACAAATGCAAAGTGCTGCACCTGGGCAAAAGAACCACCAACACTTACAGGCTGGGGGATGACCTTCTCAGCAGCACAGCAGTGGAAAGGGATCTTAGAGTCAAAGTTGACTCCAAGATGAACATGAGTCGTCAATGTGACAAAGTAATCAACAAGGCTAACCGCGCTTTATCATGCATTAGCAGAGGTATGACTGTAACAGACTGCCCTCCCTAGTGGCACTTTTCTTTTTGCATATGAGGGGCAACCCTGAAGTCCCTTAATGTTTCATTTATCTCGTTCATCTCATATCCTACCTTTACTCACCTGCCACATCTTGATATAAATATTATTTAGATGTTCTTACAAATGGAAGACTGCCTATTGTAATTCTATGTTGGGGTTCTCAACCACCATGGGCCTCGTCCCCTGTCTTTCTGTAGCTAGGCCTATCAGTTGAAACCCACCATATAGGGTTTGACTCCGAAGCTTTAGCGCCTTAATCCTCTCACGGCCTATGGTCCTCCTTTTGTTTTCAATCTGGAGCCCAGGCTTTCTAGCCCAGAGGCCTGTCCACTGGGCATAGAGCTAGTAGGCTGCAAGTTCCAGTCTGAGCAGCAGCTCAAAACTCCCACTGCCCAAGGACACCCTTTCCTTTAGCTTGGGCTACTAGCTGAGATCTCCCCACTGGGACCCAGCTTAAAAGTCCTGCAACCAGCTCTGAGCTACAGGCCCTACATGGTTGCATACTCTAGAGTACTAGGACCTTTGGCCTTTTATGACAGTGCCCAAGGCGCTAAGGGGGCCTCCTCCTCCCCTGCAGCCTCAACCACAAACCACCAGTGTTAATCAATCAAAAAATATAAACAATATGTCCATGGGCTATAACTGCCACAAAAAATAATTAAAGAAGGCAGCATGCCAGCTTACATTTTTCCCAGGCTCTATGCTTCTGCTTCCCATTGTTTGTTACAGTCCTTCTTCTGGGGGTGCTGCCGCTTCTCTGAGGGTCATCAGTAGTTCCCCTCCCACAGCAGCTGGACAGGTTGCCAAGCCTCTCTGTGGAGCTCTTCTACACAAACTCCTTCCCCCTTGGCTGCTAGCCCCAACTACTGCTAAACCCAGCGTTTTTATAGTTCTGGCCTGCCCCCTTCTGGTCACCTGACTAGCCAGCCAGGCTCAGCTTTTAACTCACACCCTGCCAGCAGTCTGTGCCCAGAAGGTTCTGGTGTTAAAGGGACCAGCCTGCTTTCTGGTAACAGGGCTAGTGTTCCCTGTTACTATGACAAACAGGTCCAGGGAGGTGATGCTTCCCCTCTATGCTCAGTCTGCAGTTGGAGTATTCATCCAGTTTTGGGTTCTGCACTTCAAGAGGGATGTGGAGAATCTTGAGAGGGTTCAAAGGAGGGCCACTTGTATGGTCACAGGCCTGCAGGCAAGGCCCTATGAGGAGAGACTGAGGTCTCTTCAGCCTTTGCAAGAGAAGGCTGAGAGCTGATTTTATGGCTGCCTATAAATTCATCAAGGGAGGGAAGCAGGGAATAGGAGATGCTCTATTTACTAGGGCACCCCCTGGAATAACTAGGAACAATGGCCACAAATTGACATAGAGCAGATTTAGTTTGGACATTAGAAAGAACGTCTGCACAGTAAGGGTTTCTCTCCCCTACCTTGGAAGTTTTTAGAGGAGACTGGACAAGCACCTAGTTGGGGTTATCTGACCACAGCACTCTTTCCTGCCTGGGGCAGGGGGTCGGACTCAATGACCTACTGAGGTCCCTTCCAACCCTAACATCTATGAATTAGACATATCTGCACAGGGATGGAGCTCCCACTGGAGCAGTGTTGTTGCCTGCAAAAACACATGTTTTTTCTGAACCAGTTAGTCTCTAAGGTGCCACATGCCTCTGGCTAAGGGGAGTGTTGAACTCCAAGTGCACTGATATGCTTCTAAGGCTTCTTGCTTGTAAATTCATAACTACTTCACCTTGTGCATGTTTTCCTTGGAAGTATATACTGCTATGTATGAGTTATGCAAACATCCTCTCTTCCTTCGTTTTCCTCTCTTCTCCTCCTATAAGGCCAAGATAGCTTGATTTTTTAGTTTTTAAATTGGAGAACCATTTATGCTTAAATGGAAACCATCTAATATCAACAGATTTATTTCTGATTCATGTATGTATTCTAATTGTGAGATAGTGCTCATGCTAAGCAAGGCCTAGCATA